AGGAACACCCACATATATGCAATTGTATGAGTTTGTGGGAGCAGTCTTGAGGACAACCTTGTCCTTATTTGTTTTGCAATGCCACATGTGTTGGCTTTGCTGCTCAGTTGCTATAAGAATACTTACAATCTGTGCTTTTCATCCTTTTATTTTAGGGGACAGCCATTCTATCAATCAAGAGACCATTTGTCTTACAGTTAACCAGGGGTCTTGGATGGCAGCTAGCTGCTGACCATGGGATCACTCTAGAACCTCTTACCTAGTGTTCCTAGAGAAACTAAAACATCAATTCTCTTTTAAGAAATAGAACTTCACTCATTTGTATTTTTTTTTGTTTTGTTTAGCACACTCTGTTTTAATTTTTTAAGGTTCAGGGATAAAAGTTATATTGATTGTCACCTTTCTCATGTAGACTGTTTTACATTGTTTCAGTGCTGCTAGATATTGACACCAGGTCCTTCCCATATGCTAGGAAAGCACTTGGCCACTGAACCACATGCCCTGTCCATTATAAACAGAAAGTCAATTCCCAAATGAACTATGGCCCTCTGAGAAACCATAGCCATGTCCACCGTTATAGAAAAGGCCAATGCTTTACTATACTTAATGAATAAAACTAAAGTCTTTGAATGTTCTAACTATAGATGTGCTTTATCCATGTTCTGAGAGTCAAAGACTGGAATGACACCCTCCTTTATGGTCTCATTCATAGGGTAATATACCAAATACTGTGAAAATAGAACTAGAGAGATGACTCAACGATTAAGAGCACGGCCTGCCCTTCCAGAGGACCTAGGTTCAATACCCAGCACTCATAGAGTAGTCCACAACTATCAGTACCTTGAGTCTCAGGGGATATAAGGCCCACTTCTGGCCTCTGCAGACACTGCACACACATAGTATACAGTCATACACAGAGGCAAAACTGTCACATTAAATAAATAAATAAATAAATAAATAAATAAACAAATAAAACGTAACAAAACTATTTTACATAGTTAATGATTAAGGTAGCTATTGGCGTGGGAACTACATAATGATTATATCTATCTTATTTGAATTCTGGTTACATTTTGAAATCTTAATTCTTTTTAATAGTATGCATATATTTATTATTCTAGTCAATAGTCCTCAACCAGGATTTAATGGAAAGTTGTGGACCAAGCCCTAATACCTTGATTTGGTGGTTTGGGACTTGGGCCCAGGCATCCAAATTTCTGCCCAGCTGAACTAGTGTTCTTCCTGTGCAGCCTTACCCTGTCAAGTGTGTTCATGACCAAATGTATCCCCGTTATTACATTTACTTTGTTTCCATTCATTCTGATTGTGAGACCTGCTTCCTTGGAAACATACTTGAGAAGAAACAAGTATCAACAACCAAAGCCAGACAATCGCCCAGTGCCACTTCTACTGAGCCTAGCATCTACATGTCCACCTAGCCCAAGAAACAGAGCAGATTAACGTTACAGAACCAGCACTTGAACTAGGGCCCCTAATGGAGATGAATATTTCCTTCAGCAGTCTGCCAGCTGAATCATGGTCTAATTAAATAGTTCAGATTTAGTGAGTTTGCATTTAAAGTATTAGCAGATCTGAGAACGAGTAAAGCTAAAATGAGTTAGAATCTTTTCTGTAAATGGGAAGTTAAATTATCATAGTAATTTGATTAAATCATTTTAAATCTCTCCAGCTAAATCACAGCCTTTAAAGAATAGTTTGAAGTCTTAATTGCTGTTTGTGAGCATATCGCTCTGCTATTTGTTCTCGCCTCATTTCCTGTGACATCCGCTCGTATATCTCCCTAGGCCAGGCCAGAGTAGCTGCGAAGGAAAAGCTGAAAAGCTGTGGAAGGGGTCTGGGGGGAGCTGCAGCTGGTTTCCCGTGTTTAAAGGAACGCCATCTAGAAGAGAGAAATACGCTCTAGTTCATTACAATCGTTATAACCCAAACCAAAGGAAAGAACTTGGAGACAGACTGGGAAAATACGAAACAGATATTTCTCAACATTAGACCCGTTCCTTGTAAATCAGCAGCCTCCATACAACTGGAGACGCCATTGCTCAGAACACTGTAGAAAAGGCTGATGATAAAGGCGGATGAGTCCATGACTGTGTTCTCTGGACACTTCCATTTTCATTGGAGAAAAAAACACTCTTATCACTATATTTTAGAAGCCGACTTTGATCAAAAAGATAGCCGAGTTTATGGAGCTATCGAGATGGCTCAGTGGGTAAAATGCTTTCCTTGCCAGCATCAGGGTGAGTAATAAGAAGCCCTGCTAAAAGCCAGACAGCATAGGCAGAGCTTGCAATCCCAGTGGTGAGGAGGCAGAGACAGGAAGACTCTGGGGACTCACAGGCCAGCTCATCTAGCTGGCTCGGCAAATTCTAAGCCATTGAGTGACCCTATCTCAGAAGGAACAGTGGGTAGTTCTTGAAGAAGGTTACAGAGTTGCATGTGCGTGAACACACGTACACTTACACACCCCACATGCATAACACATGTACACACACAAATAGAACAAACTACGTTTGAGCCCAAGAAAGCGCAGATAGAGGGTAATTAACAGGGCAGGTGACTACAAAGCAGCTCCGTCACCACCTAGTCAAGGCTCACTGTGGACTGTGACCACTTGAAGCTCCATCATGGAGTCTTCTAGTGATCATCCTCCCACTCCCCTTATCCTCTATTATCTCCCAAGGTCACTGTCACCTGGGGGAGAAGGAGCAATAGCAGGACTTCCAGGTGAGAGTCTTGTGACCCTCCCTCTCCCTCATGTCCTTCTACAAGGCAATGCCAACCAAGGGATCCTTTGATGTTAGCATAGTGTCCAGTATCACTGTATTTTATTGATCAGTAGTAGCCATGGTTACCATGCCAAGTTTATCTGAGCCCCAAGGTAGCATCAAAACCACCAAGAAATCATTATCTACTTGGTATAAACAGTGTGAAATTTACCCACAACTTGGTAATATACTTTTATTTGACCTTGTGCAAGAAAAAAAAAACAACAAAATAGTTTTAATAGACAAAGGAGGGTTTTTTATTATTTAAAGTAATTTTTTTGTTTATTTATTTTATTTACAATTCAGATGTTGCCCTCTCTTCCAGTCCCTCCTCCCAAGGTTCCTCATCCCATTGCTTCCCGCCACCCCACCCTCATCCCTGAGAAGATGCTCCCCCACCATCAGACCTCCCCAGTCTCTGAGGCCTCAAGTCTCTCAAAGGTTAGGTGCATCTTATCCTACTGAGACCAGACCTCTGCTGTACATGTGTCTGCGGCCTCATATCAGCTGGTGTATGCTGCCTGGTTGGTGGCTCAGTGTCTGAGAGATCCCAGGGGTCTAGGTTAGTTGAGACATTGCTGGTCTTCCTATAGGGCCACCCTCTTCTTCTGCTTCTTCTTACTTTCCCCTAATTCAGCCACAGGGGTCCCCGACTTCAGTTCAATGGTTGGGTGTAAGTATCTGTCTCTGTCTCAGTCAGCTGCTAGTTGAGCCTCTCCGAGGACAGTCATGCTAGGCTCCTGTCTGTAAGTACATCATAACATCAGTAATAGTGTCAGGCCTTGGTGTCTCCCCATGAGGTTGATCCCCAGTTGGACTGGCCACTGGACCGCCTTTTCCTCAGTCTCTTCTCCATTTTTGTCCCTGCACTTCTTATAGATGGGAACACTTCTGGGTCAGAAATTTTAACTATGGGTTGGCAACACCATCTCTCCTCTTGAGGCTCCAGACAGAAGAGTTTGAACAGCATTTTACTGGTTGTATCCAGTCGTCCTCATTCCTCTGCCTGTTTGTTTTTATTTGGTTTTATTACAAGGTTCTGTTTAGTTTACTCTGTGATCTGTGTTTGAATTGTGTGAAACTTTGGCTAACTACATACATCTTCGCACTTGACATTCACAGAGAAACGGGGTTATTAAACATGAAGAGTCCCCAAAGACTCCATTATGTGTAATTAACAGATAAACTGTCATCAGAATCAATAAAACGTGCTAAATGATTCAAACTTGTATATAATTAAGTGTCTGTTTTATTTTTTTATCCACATTTCACATTTCTCACAAGGATAATTACGGCAACCTTGTTAACCCTTTTCATTCCTGACTACATTAGATTGTTAAATTAGTCAATTTAGGGGCAGAGTTCACTATTACAAATGTGGAAAATATGTCACAACTCAAGAGAATCTGAGCATATAAAAATATCTTACTAAGATTCGAACAATACATTTAAGATCTTGAAGCATCAGAGATGACAGAGATATCATATAGTGAGGGTTTCTGTATGCCATGTGGAGTTGTAAATTATGATCTTGGTCATTAACTTTTTCTAACCTTTGGGAAATATGAGCTTTTAGGTATGAATTTGGGATTTAAAATTTATCTCAACATTTAGAATTTTTGAAATAATATTTTTTATTTGAGAATTTCTTAGAGTTTGATCATATTTGTTTCTCTCCCTTCCATTACTCGCCTGCCTGTGTTGTAAATTCTGTGCTATAGTCCTTTGTTAAATGAACACATGACGAAGGCTTAGGTTCGTGTTGCCAAGAATATAATCTGTTAAAGTGTTCTCTTGGTCAATATGTAGTGTATACTGTAAATAAATGTATATATCTAAATATATACAGATTAAAGAATAATTTTTGAATTCTAAGCTCATATTGAAGATTACAAGTGAATGTCTGGGAAAAACATATAGATTTCAAAGCAGCTTTGACCTTGGGTGCACAAGAACACACAAGTGTTTTATTTAGAATGTTTTCATCTGTGTTCCTTATGATCTTTCTTTATAGTGACTTTAGTGTATGTGTGTGTGAGTGTGTGTGTATGAATGTGTATGAGCATGTGTGTGAATGTGTGTGAGTGTGTATGAGTATGTGTGTACCTCAGTGTGTCTGTGTGTCTCTCTGTGTGTAGAATAAACTGCATTTTGTTTTGTTATCTTGCATTTACTATTTACATGATTGCTGACCTACTCTGTTTCACTGCCCAGATTCCATGCACATAGAAGATGTGGAAGCTGTTCAGAAACTTCAGGATGTGTTACATGAGGCCCTTCAGGATTATGAGGCTGGCCAGCACATGGAAGACCCTCGCCGTGCAGGCAAGATGCTCATGACGCTGCCGCTGCTGAGGCAGACCTCCACCAAGGCAGTCCAGCACTTCTACAACATCAAACTCGAAGGCAAAGTGCCCATGCACAAACTTTTTTTGGAAATGCTGGAGGCCAAGGTCTGACTAAAAGCCCCCCTGGGCTCTCCCATCCTGCACGTTGAAAAGGGAAGATAAACCCAAGAATGATGTCGAAGAATCTTAGAGTTTAGTGAACAACATTAAAAATCAACAGACTGCACTGATATTTTAGCAGCCACAGTACGACGCAGCCTGCGGATTCCGCCACATCTTCCTGATAGGTTTCCTCTACTTTATCCCATGATCCTCTGGCCATATTCCTGCATTCTTCCACTCTTCCTTGTTCCATTATTATGTTTTGCTTCTTTCAGTAGTGGTTCCCTCTCCCTCCTCTCCTCCCTCCCTTCCTTCCCCTCCTTCCTTCCCTCTCTCCTTTTTCTCCCCTTCCTTTCTTCTGCCTCCTTCCTTTCTCTTCCTTTCTCCAATCTTCTTCTCTTGCCTTGTTCTCGTCCCTCTTCCCTCTCTCACACCCCTTCCCACTCTACATAATCAATACCTCTAATCATACGGAACATTTCTTTTACCTCTTGAATCTCTTCCCCATCTCTTCCTTCCTCGTTTTCTTTTCCCTTTTCTTCCTTCTGCTGCTGAACTCTTAAAAGCGGTGTCTAAATGGAGAGAGATGGAAGCCAGCCCTGCCAAAGGACAGAGATCCATACTACGGATGCCAGTGAACTTGTCGTGAACCATGACATCCCCAGTGAGTAAGGAATCAAAGAGAGAACCATACCTAAAGTACAGCGCAATGCAAACGGATCGACTTAGTGCAGTATTAGATTCTACTGGGCAGCCTCCGATCAGACAGCCTAAGTGGCAGCATTGGCTGCTTCTACTTGCTTTCTCATCTAGATCAGTTAGAGCCATTTGATTCCTTAATTCTTTTGTCAAGTCTTCCAGGTGTTGGTTAGTTTAGCTACTATGTAACTTTTTCAGGGAATCGTTTAAGCTTTATTCATTCATGCAATACTAGAGGGGGGTAAGGATACCGCAACCTCGTGCTGGCTTTGAACAATTGAACACTCACGAAGGACAAATGAACCCTGAAGGAAGATTTTTAAAAAAATTGTTTCGTTTCTTCTTACAAATGGAGATTTTTTTGTACCAGCTTTACCACTTTTCAGCCATTTATTAATATGGGGATTTAACTTACTCAAGCAATAGTTGAAGGGAAGGTGCATATTACCACGGATGCAATTTATGTTGTGTGCCAGTCTGGTCCCAAACATCAGTTTCTTACATGAGCTCCAGTTTGCCTAAATGTTCACTGACACCAAGGATTAGATTATACCTACCGTGACACCGAGTGGTCCCATCCACGAGCACTGCACATGGGACTCCTATCTGTAGAATTAGCACCAGTACACCTCCCTGCCGGGAGGGACAGTCGCCATACGATTTCTAGCTGCCCTCGTGGTTAGGAACAAGATGCTGCCTGTATGCAGTTCAAAACTCTGTCTCAGAAGGAGCTGTGAGCCAATATCATTTCAGAGGCAATAAGGCTAATGCCAGAATTCAAACAAACCAATCGTCAAAGACAGCAGACGCCTGACCAAATTCTAAAATCCTGATCCATAGGAGTTGATTCACTTAGGAATGGTTGTTTAAATTAACCTGCAGGTTCGTTTCGTTTCGTTGTTTGTTTTTGTTTTTGTTTTTTTTTTACCAAAAGCTAAGCCAATAGATGTGCTTTTCAACAAGTATGGTCACAGCACGAAGGTCAGTCAGGTTTCAGACTGTAACCAGGTGTAATCTAATGAAGAAATCAGATGCCCCCTCCCGAAACCTACAGTCGCCGAATAACCAGAAAACAGTAACCTCCATAGAACGCTTTACCAATGGACCAGTGTTAGTAGCTGCTCTCTGTATTCTGTGGACAGTCTTATTCTATGTACACAGATGTAATTAAAGTTGTACTCCTAACAAACAAAAGAATAGTTCAGCTTCAATGTTCCATGTTTGCTGCGCTTTTCTGAACTTTACGTTGCATTCAGAAACTGTCGTCTTGTTCTCGTGGTGTTTGGATTCTTGTGGTGTGTGCTTTTAGACACAGGGTAGAATTAGAGACAGTATTGGATGTATACTTCCTCAGGAGACTACAGTAGTATATTCTACTCCTTACCAGTAATAACTAAGAGATTGAAACTCCAAAACAGTATTCATTACGATCAGACACACATCAAAATCATAATAATATTTTCAAAAAAGGGATAATTTCTCTAATGGTTTATTATAGAATACCAATGTATAGCTTAGACATAAAACTTTGAATATTCAAGAATATAGATAAGTCTAATTTTTAAATGCTGTATATATGGCTTTCACCTGATCATCTCTCAGATGTTGTTATTAACTCGCTCTGTGTTGTTGCAAACCTTTTTGGTGCGGACTTGCTTCCAAAACTATTGCTACTTTGTGTGCGTTAAGCAAAATACCTTGGACTGAGGATGTCTCAGCCCTGTGCTAGGAATACTGTGTATCTATCATTAGCTATATGGGAATATATCGTAGATTGTGGTTCTCAGTAGAGAAAGTGACTGTAGTGTGAATCTAGGTAAATCATCATTAGCAATTCATTCGGATGGTCAATACCTTGAAATTGATAGCTGTGATAAGTTAAAAAAAAATTGGCAAATCCCTGACTAAACATCAACAGAAAATACAACTCCTGGGGGGGAAAAGGTGCTCATCCTGTAAGATTCTTTCATCATGTAAGTGTTTAAAACATTATTTTGCAGAAGGTTTATGCAGGGTTTAAGTTACTACTGCTCAATTAGGCTATGTATGCAAAAGGAATCTAGACAATGTAGCCACCGTTTCACTGAGTCGCACTGAAGTATCTGAGCTTCAGAAGCCAGAGCTGGCAAGTGATCACGTGAGACAGAAACACATTTTAAAACTGAGATAAAATGTGTAACGCTCTGTCTAAAAGACTTGGCCTTTTAAAGCAACAAATATCTTAAAACTAAGGTGAAAAAAAAAAACAGCTTAAAATGTAGATCTAAGAGAAATGCACGGGCTTTAGGGTAAATACCATTTGTACCTTGCTCGAGCAAAGTTTCCTGTTTTTTCAAGTTTCTAGCAAGACCGTTTAGTTAATGCCAGCTGTCAGGAAGATACCAAGGTGTACGTTTTAGCCATGCAATTTACAGTTTTATTTTCCTTTTAGGTTTGTTCTTATTTAAGGCAATATGATTGTTTTGGCTCCTTGTAGTGACTCTCGTGTTTTAATCAAGTCAGATTGTTGTATTTATTCCACTATTTTGCATTTAAATGATGACATAAAAGATATAAAAAATTTAAAACTGCTATTTTTCTTATAGAAGAGAAAATGGATGTTGGTGATTGTATTTTAATTATTTAAGCATCTCTGTTTACCTGCCTGGGACAACATTTTATGGCAGTCTTATGTGCAAAGATCGTAAATGGACAAAACAAAAAAATTAAACTGCTTACAATGATCCAGGAGTTGCATTATAGCCAGTAGTAAAAAATAATAATGATAATAATTATTAATAATACTAATGAAACCATGTCTATAGCTGTAGATGGGCATCACATCTGTAAAGCAATCAATTGTATATTTTTGTGATGTGTACCATACTGTGTGCTCCAGCAAATGTCCATTTGTGTAAATGTATTTATTTTATATTGTATATATTGTTAAATGCAAAAAGGAGCTATGATTCTGTGACTCCAATCAGTTCAGATATGTAACTCAAATTATTATGCCTTTCAGGAGGATGGTAGAACAATATTAAACAAGCTTCCACTTTTTGCCGCTGTTTTGTATTGTGTTTCTTTTTTCCCCTCACACAAACGGATCAACAGTACCCTTTGTTGCCTCTCCTCAAAGAGTAGCTCCGAGGACCGGGTCCCTAAAAATAAAGTAGGACTTTAAGTAAGAGCTATATAAAGGCTTGTCAGAATGAATTCTAGGGTGCCAAGAGACATTTTGCATATTTAAGGGTATGCAAAGTGTCTCATGGCACATTGGAATTCATTCTGACAGGCCTTTATATAGCTCATACTTAATCTTAAGCAGCCCCACATCATCCTGCATTACTCAAAATCATCGCCTCTATGTCAATGTCATAACAGAAAACTTTCCCCTATTTTAAGATCATATTAAAACCTGTGAGAGATATCTATTATTTCCTTCTACCGACAATTAAATCAAGCTCCCTGGCTTGCGTACATGGAGCTCAGCGAGTGAGTGCCAGGCTTTGGTGGAGGACACAACAGCCACTGGCCAGCTATCTTGAATGGGAAGTCTTGGCAGAGCCCTCTGATCCATGCATGGGGAGGAGGCTGAGGCTGTCTCGGAATTCAGGAAATCTAAACAGCACTGCTGACAGCTAATAACCTTTTCCTGCCCTTGCTGCTTGGGTTCAACTTGGAGCTTTCCCTGGACACTCCTGGAACCATCACCAAATTCTAATATGCTTTCTCTTGCTGTATCTGCCTAGCCTGTCTTTATTTCCTCTGCCCAGCTAGAGAGTGTTTTGTCAGTGTGCCTGCCCACCTTTCCAAGGTGACTGGTTCTCCAGAGGTGCACAACAATGACACAAAGGCCACTAGCCAGAACTTCTGTTTTTAGGACCATGAGATCACCTACTAGAAAGAAAGCTCAAAGTTCAAACTTTATTATTTTAATATCTGTTGCAGAGCAAGAGCCCAACACAGTATCTCATGTTTACACATTTTACTTTTGAGTTGTTCACATATGTGTGTCAAATTTCAGAAATGCAGCATTCAGATGTAAGAAGGGCTACCCTGCTTGCATTCTCTAGGAGAGTTCTTCTTTTAAAACATATGTGAGGCACACCTATGTTCTTTTAAAAACTCAAACACTTATATTCTCTTGCTTTTTAATATTCTATAATTATGAGACAATTTTTCTGGTATAGATATGTATCCTGGCTTCTTCAAGCATAAAAGCAACAGACAGTGAGATTGTGACACTTCTAGATGTCATATTTGTCAGTTTAGAAACAAGGTAGATTTGAATGTTACTTGTTTTTACAAATTATTTAACTTTTAACAGATGGCAAGAAATTATTTGTTTCACACCTTAATATATTAGAAGGGTTACACATTACTTCTCAGACTATTTTAATGAAAAACATGTCATCAGAGGAAAAGAATTAAACATTAGCCAAATGTTGCATTCAAAATATTTTAGGCATTGAAATCTGAAGACCCATGTTGTTAAGTTTCATAAAACTTCATAAATACATACTAAATGAGACAAATATATAGAATAGTGTTCAACTTGAATGATGAATGGTAATGTAACCAGTAAATCATAACTTATAAGAATAAATGTGCCCTTTGGTGTATCCTACCAATTATTTCAAAGAAATCTACTGGCAATAGTTTTGATACAACTGTAAACAATTGTTTTAAAAAGCAATGGTTCTGAAACTTGTATCCATGTTGTAAACTTCCCAGGAGAGCTGGAACCTCCAGAAACACATGTCCCATTCAGGAAGGACACAGATACAGTTTCACTGGTGTCTGCAACCTGGCCTGGGCTGGGCTTTCCAACAGTTGGAGATCTCCAGATGATTTAACCTGAAAATGAGGAAGGAATCTTTGCATCTTTGCAATTTCCTGAAGCCACAAATACCCTTGAAAATTAAAGTGCTTACTTGCGTTGACTCCACATGTTTGTAACTAAAGATGAAATCCTAGGCAATAGATCTCCTCTTACTTTTTGTTCCCAAAGACAGGCAAATAAATGTCAGATGGGGTGAAAGCCACTCATCTGATTCCATCTCTGTTTATATTGTCCCTTCTCAAGGAGAGTAACAATAAAGACAAGGAAATGTATTTTTAAAAGACTGTCACATTTTTAATTTCATGTGTCTCTGTATATCTATGTGTGTGATCATGTGAGTATTGATACCCACAGAGGCCAGAAGAGGCCACCATATCCCCTGGAGTTGAGGTTAATGCTTGCTAGTGTTTTGTCCCATGTGGGTGCTGGGAACTGAACCCCCATCCTCTACAAGAACAGCAAATGCTCTTAACCATTGAGCCATCTCTCCTGGCCCAAGAGAGCATCTTTTATTTTATTATTCTGTTTATATCTAGTTATTTACCAGTAATAAATGGAGTTTTCAGCAAAGCCATTTATGTTTTCTGAGTATTTCATGATCATTTTATTTGAATCTGTTCATTTGACCCTTTAACTTGCTTTGAAATTAATTTATGTATTTTGGGGCAAAAAAGAAAGAAAGAAAGAAAGAAAGAAAGAAAGAAAGAAAGAAAGAAAGAAAGAGAAAGGAAGGAAGGAAGGAAGGAAGGAAGAAAGGAAGAAAGAAAGGAAGAAAGAAAGAAACCAGGATGATTTTTCTCTACTTAAGGAAAAAAAAAAAAACAAGAAAATTTTTTTGGACTTTAGACTAGATTTTTTTCTTTGACTTACATTTTTCACGTTATTGGTTTATAAGGAGGGTAGAAATAAGATGGATTTGAGGGTGGAAATGTTTTCTTCTTAGAAATCTATAGAAACTTCTAGTCCACCTTGCTGTCTTAAAATTTTCATTCATGACTAATCTGTGAAAAAAAGCAAGATGTATTTAAAGGTTGATTTTTCTGCAGGGTCTTCCATGCTGAATGGACATTTCCAGAGCTCACTGGATACAGATGTATTTAAGTTGGAGTATCTGCTCTTTTTCAATCTAAGCCTAGCTTCTTGATTGTTCTGCTCCTTCGTAGTGAAAAAAAAATGAAAGCAAGAGAAGTAGTCAGAGATCGATTGCAAACTGCATCTTATTATGTAGCAAAGTAAAGAAGAAAGGGATTTCAAAATACAATCCTCTTTTTCCAGGAATATCTGTCTTTTTCTCCACAAAGCTCAAGTTGTGAAATAATGTGCCCATCAGGGGCTCAATGTTGTGTGTCCACACCAGTTGGTCCAAGGGCTTGTTATGATGGTAATGACCTACTGCAACGTGAACTTGGGTTGCAACAATGCAATTGCCACCAGCTCACCCGCTGAGAGAAATATTTTATTATTGTCCAATATCTTCCATAGAGATTTGTTTTTCCCATCACTGTTTAAATTAAATTCAACGCAGAACTGCATGGTGATTCCTCTGGAGTATATTTCAGATAAACAACTAGTCTCAAATTTTAGAAATTCTAGCTACTTCAAATTTGTTTATTAGCAGAAAAATTACCTAGGTGACACTGTCACCGGGTGTGTGTGATGAGTGTACCTACACAAGAGATTTGCCTAC